TTTTTCCATGGAATAGATGGCACAGCTTAGTAGTGCTAAACAACCAACAAGATAAATAATATATTTTGCTAATGGGTATTACCTTGACTCAAACAAATTTTGACTTAATAATAATAACAATAATAATAATAATTTATTATTTGTACCCCGCCCATCTGGCCGGGTTTCCCCAGCCACTCTGGACGGCTTCCATTGAAACCAAAAAATACACTAAAATCACACATTAATCACACATTAAAAACTTCCCTGAACAGGGCTGCCTTAAGATGTCTTCTGAATGTCAGGTAATTGTTGATCGTTTTGACATCTGAAGGGCGGGATGTAATATAATATAATATTTAGCATATTATACAGTCAGGCTGGGGTACCTGTGACCCTCCAGATGTTGCTAGACTCCAACAGCAAGGCCCATAGTCAGGGATGATGGAAGCTGAAGTCCAACAATATCTGAAGACCACAGATTCCCCACTTCTACAGTGAAACTGTTATACATTCCAAACAACACTTGTTCTAGATTTTCACATCAGATAGCATTACCTTAGCAGACTTTCCTCCTCTGAAGAAATGAAGAGAACCCTGAAGATATATTTGTCTACTAGCAGGGAAAATCTGTCACCTGGACTCAGCTGATGCCATCTATCAGTATCCATTGGCAATAGTTGGTCATTTTCAGTCGACTGATAAAAACAGGGGTTTATATGGACCTGCCAATTAAGAAGACACTCTTACTACAGATGATATGGCCTAATTACAGACTCAGGTCTAATTACCTTATTTTGGAATAGACTACCATTTTTATCCCAATCTCTGTTTGGAGCATTAAAGATAAAAGCTAGAACATATAAAATCAGAACCTCCAAGACTGATTTTTATTATTTTTTTGTACTGAGAAATAGGAAACAGTTACCGGTTTGATGCTAAGCTGGTCACCAACTACTTTCAGAATAGCGTGTTTCCTGGATACTCTTTTATCTGTAATCTGTAACACAAAACCGACAGATGTCAACAGTGGGGGCATAAAACCCACCAATAAAGATATCTAAAAATAATAAAGCTACTATATAGTTTTTACTGTGCTAACAAAATTTGTTAGCTTCACTTTTTAGTATAAAAATATTGTTCACTTTGTTGACAAGTTAAATGCTAAAACTTTTATCAAAGCCAACAAAAGCAAAATAGAAATCTGAGTTTTATCAAAATAAGAAGCTACCTTCCATTTATACCTGTGAGTTTCAACTGAAAGCAGACAGAGGAGGGAGAGGTGTTTGGTTTTTGTTTAAAAAACAACCTTCCTAAAACCTTCCTCTATTTAGATAAGTCATTCTAGGGAAAATTGGTAATTCCAGACAATGGTGTTTAGAATACTTTGTGTAGTTGCAACATTAAAGTTACTTATTAAGATCTTATAGTGATACTTGGAGCATCAATATAAAGTAGGATATGTGTTGGTTATAGGAATATATTAAGAGTGGGGTGATTCTTTTTTAGCTATAAAGGATATCTACAAGGAAAAGTTTACTCTCCAAATTCATGCCTTATAGATAAATTCTATCTGGCCTACAAAGGGAAGAGCAGTAGAAATTAATAAACTAGCACTACAACTAGTGTAGGGTAGTAATTAAAAGCATCAATATAAAACCAAGTGTACAAACTAACAAACACAAGAAACTAATACAACTAAGAGGAAAAGTAATTAAAGCAATTATAATTGAATTTAGAGAAGTCACTTCCCAAGAACATCCTCTGATTACTTCCAAATGGGTAACTAACATACTCTATGGGCTTCAAAAAGTATAGTGAGGGGGATATATTTACAGTATCAGTGGATTGTGACCTCTAGTGTGTAATACAGTTAGTGCATTTGACCAAAAAGACAGCACAACTCAGGAGAAAAGGGGGGGGAGGGAAATGGGGAAAGGCCCCCCTCCCCTCACAGTGTGTTCTTCACCCTGTGTTCTCCACCAGTTGCTAAGAATATTCCCAGCAACAGACAGCAGCAACTGGAACTACTCCCAGACTTGTGGGTAGAGAACTGTGTGTAATTATGAGGGTTTACACAACCCGCCTCAAGCATTGAGAACACTGGTCATTTTAGCTAGCCCCTTTGTTCACTGATTGCACATTCAGCCATATGAAGTAGCTCTATGTACATAGAACTCCTCCATTTTGGACGAATGTGGATCCTCAATCACATGGAGGTGGCCTATGGGGCCAGCACAGATATCATAATTTGGGTAGGGCTGCTAACTAGGATACTAACTGGGATCCCACAACCCCACCATATACACTTCCAATGTGTGACGGACTCGTGCAAACTTCCCTAACACATCAGATGAAGAAACAGCAAGAGTTTGCTCAGCTTCGGCCAATGCAAGGAACTGCTGGGCAACAGGAAGACTATCCTCATGTTCCATGGCCTTGTAAACAGCAAGACTACTTTCAGCACCGAGTGAGTTGTACAGTGGTACCTTGGGTCAAGAACTTAATTTGTTCCGGAGGTCCGTTCTTAACCTGAAACTGTTCTTAACCTGAGGTACCACTTTAGCTAATGGGGCCTCCCGCTGCCACCATGAGATTTCTGTTCTCATCCTGAAGCAAAGTTCTTAACCCAAGGTACTATTTCTGGGTTAGCAGAGTCTGTAACCCGAGGTACCACTGTACACCCTTAGAGTGCAATTCACACACACCAATAACACAAGGTGGAAAAGGGAGCCTCTCAGTATGCCTTTAGCTAATTTTGCTTAGTGTCCTTGCATGGGTATAAAGCTGGCTTTCCAACCAGAAGTCTGTCTCTTTGCACACCAGATTATGCAGTGCAAAAATGCATTGGGAGCTACAAGACTAAATATACTGGATAGAATTCCTAGGATTGTACTGTACAAAGATTGCATCTAGTTGTGTGTTCTGTTATAGCATGTTTGGTCATTAATACAATAATATTAAAACCCCCAGGTTAAACCTAGTTGACTCTAGGGAAAAAGCAGCTTCCATTGCAAGTCTCCTAGTCTCTCACCTAAAAGTCTCTCACATTATTAAGAGAGTAACCCAAGCCCTGATCTATGGAGAGCCACTGCAGTAGGAGAAACACAGAAAGCTGCCTTATACCATTGGTGCCTCTATCTCAGCATTGTCTACACTGACTGGCAGCAAGGGCTCCAGTATTTCAGACAGGGAGTCTCTCTCTCCCAGCTCAGTCTGGAAATGCCACTGGAGGGTGTTGAACCTGGGACGTTCTGCTTGCAAGGCAAACACTCTGCCACTGTGCTATGGCCTATCCTAAATAAATAAATAAATAAATAGGAAGCTGCCTTACACAGACCATTGGTCCCGCTAGCTCAGTTATTGTCTGCACAAACTGGCATCAATAGCTCTCTGGAATTTCAGATAGGGAGTCTCTCCCTCTCCAAAGCCCAGTCTGGAGATGCCACTCAGGAGGTTGAACCGAGGACGTTCTGCATGCCAAGCAGGCTCCCTGCCACCAAGCCACAACCACCTGGAGTAGCTGCCTTTTTTTTTCCTCTCGGAGAGATGCTGCGAAAGATTTGCAGCCAAAAAGTTGGAAAGCCTTCCCCCCCCCAGCCAGATTTGGAACATTGCAGGCCAGCTGGACCAACAGTCTCATTTGGGGGTGGGGGGTGGGCATCACGAGTTTAAGCTGCAAATATTTGTGCGGCGCAATTGGTCAGTGTGTCTTGCTGTTAACCAGAAGGTCGGTGGTTTGAGCCCACCCTGGGGGCAGGATTGCAGCATGGCCGAGGACTGGGCTAGATGACCCATGTGGTCCCCTCCAACATAATAATAATAATAATAATAATAATAATAATAATAATAATAATAATAATAATTTATTACTTATACCCCGCCCATCTGGCTGAGTTTCCCCAACCACTCTGGGCGGCTTCCAATCGAGTGTTAAAAACAATACAGCATTAAGTATTAAAAAAATTCCCTAAACAGATCTGCCTTCAGATGTCTTTTAAAGATAGGATAGCTGCTTATTTCCTTCATGTCTTCATCCCCCCCCCCGTTCCACAGGTTGGGCGCCACCACCGAGAAGGCCCTCTGCCTGGTTCCCTGTAACTTCACTTCTCACAGTGAGGGAACTGCCAGAAGGCCCTCGGCGCTGGACCTCAGTGTCCGGGCTGAACGAAGGGGTGGAGACGCTCCTTCAGGTATACAGGCCAACATTACAGTCCTATGATCTAAGATCTCCGTCTTCTTCCTCTTACACCAACTCCACCCCGACCCACCCGCCTACCCCAGACACCTCTGGAGCGCCGCCAGGGGGGCACTTACTCCCAGCAGGGCACCTCTTCCTATCACTGTCTCCCCAGGCGGCAGCACCACGGGGCAACCCCCGTCCGCCGGCGCCAACTCAAACCCTGGCATGAAGGTCCAGCAGGGCCTCCCCGCCGCAGGGCTTATCACAGGGAGGGGGACGCAAAACACGGGCGGACCGCCTCGCCACTTCCGCTCCGCCTCTCCACTGGAACTGAGGTAAAAAGTTCCGGGCTGCGAAAAAAATAAAATAAAATAAAATAAAATAAAATAAAATAAAATAAAATAAAAATAATAAATAAAATAAAATAAAATAAAATAAAATAAAATAAAATAAAATAAAATAAAATAAAATAGTAGTAGAAGAAGACGAAGAAGAAGAAAGTCCCCTGTTCTTTATCAAACTACATCCCCCACAACGCACTTCGGCGACGGCAGCTTCTCCTCAGAGCCTCTGCGATTACGTCAACTGAGCGGTTGGGGGAACGAATGGCGTTCGAATGGAGAAACCGTTTGGGCCGTTAACGGCCGCTGCGCGCGGACGAACGCAGGTGAGTGGCAGGCGCTTCGGCGAGTCGCGAGGCGGCCCCGCGTTGCTGAGTGGTGACGGCGGTGCCGCGAGCGCTCGAGACATCCAATCCCCGAGTAGAAAGGGGAGGGGAGGGGGCGCAACTGGAAGCCGCTTTAGCGATTGGGGGCGTGGCGGGAGAGTATCCCGAGGCTCCCATTGGCCACAGCTGGCCGTGTAAACAAACATTGCCTGAGCTTGGCCGAGTCAATTCGCCTCAGTCCTCTCAAAACTTACCAGGGCTACCAAGAAAAACACATGCAAAATACTTTCCTCAAAACACTTGCATTCTCGATAAACTGACCCAAAGTAACTAGCACCTTCTGGTGCTCACAGTCCATACAAATTTAATTACTTAATAATAAGAATAAGGCCTAGCTGCCCAAATACTCACAGAAATTCAGAGAAGTTGCATAGCCACCAATTGCACATGGCCACTTTTTAAATTAAAGTCAAATAAATACGTTTTTAACTCGGGTGATTGGGGGGAGGGAGAGAAACAAATAAATGCATTTTAAACTCGGAGGGGGGACCAAACCAGAAAAATCTAATGGCTCTTTATGTTAGATGCAACTCACAGCTACATTCATATGTCTTTACAGTAGTTATTTCCCCTTCCTCAAATCCAAACAGTTGCTACTTCTGTGTTTGCCTTTTGTTTCATTTCTACTTTTAACAAGCTTGTCCACACTCGGCTTGTCCAGTGGCTAGAAAGCACAGGTCCAAGATGTTTTCCTCTTGCCCGGGGCTTTCTAGTCCAAGCAGTTTTCCGTTTGCCCCGCTGCTTTCCTTGGGGAAACCCACTCTTTTCTGCCGGATTGACACAAACATCATTCTGTGAAAAACCTGACCAGTGTTTGCTCCAGTTCCACAGTAAAGAGCAGGTTTAAAAGCGGCGGAAGAAGCAGAAGCGTGGATGATCCCAAAAGGATTAATACATATTATGAAACCTGGGGGGAAATAGTGTCAAGAGAGGAAGTCCCAAAACATAGAATCATACAATTTTAAAGTTGGAAGGGATCCTGAGGGTCAAAGCAGGACTCTCAACTAAAGCATCCATGACAGATAGCCATCCAACCTCTGCTTAAAAACCTCCAGCGAAGGAGAGCCCACCACCTTTCCACAGTCGAACAGCTCTTGCTGTCAGAAAGTTCTTCCTGGTGTTTAGTCAAAATCTCTCTTCCTGTAACTGGAAGCCATTGGTTTAGGTCCTTCCCTCTGGAGCAGGAGAAAGGAGCTTGTTCCATCTTCCATGCTACAGCCTTTAAGATATTTGAAGGCAGTTATCAAATCTCCTCTCAGTCTCCTTTTTCAGCAGGCTAAAGAGCAATGCTGTTTTGCAGCCCAAAAATGCTGTGCATTTTTGCATTTATTAAGGCAGCCTTGCCACCTGTCCAGGCCCCACATTCAGTCTCATACCATTTTAAAGCTCCTCCCGTGCCAATATCCTGAGAACTGTTATGTACTGAAGTTCTCACCCTGGGCCAGCAGGGGGATAATGTAGATAGTTTTCACTCAGGTCCACATATGCAAAAAAGGGATTGAAAGTGACGTTCAGTGATTGGATAGTTACAGAAAATAGTTACTGTTGCGTTGTAGTGGAGCTCTATATAAGCAGGCTGGCTGAACCCTTCAGTTCAGTTCTGTTCTGGCCTGTGAATAAACAAGAGCTGTTTGAAGAATCGCTGTGTCGTCTGATATGTTCACCCACAACTTAACAAGAACTGTAATTTGTTAGTGTGCTGAGAGCTTTTAGGAAACCCCTATTCCCCTTACAGAGCTACACTTCCCACAGAACTCTTGGAAATGTAGTTCTGTGTAGGGAATAGGAATATCCTAACAACTCTCACACATAACAGGCTATGGTCCCTGGGATTCTTTGGGGTAATCATGCGTGTTTAATGTGGTATGATGCAGCTTCAGATGTGTAGTGCAGATGGGGCCCAACAATAATCAGTTAAATGTTTCTAAGCAGAATTGATGTTATAAGTTCCACATCAGTTAACACAACATTCATTGATAATTCTACTTTTTCCAGAAAGGGTGGTTGGTATTTTAACAATATCTGAATTATGAAGAAAGGCTCTAAGCAGACAACTTCCAGAAGAAACAAGCAGACTGTTGCCAGTACTACCTGCAAGAAATTGTCCATTCAACCCTCTGAGCAGAAGATAAAAACATGCCAAAGAGATTTTGTGCAGCTGTTCCCGCTAGAAGTCAGCTTAAAAGTTTTTAGTGAACTTGACATTCAGAGTTTATGCAATGCTGCAGTGACATGCAAAAGTTGGAATCAGACCATTGAGAACTGTGATGATTTATGGAAACATCATTGCTTGACTGTAAGGGCTGTCTGTCAGCGAGAGATTGACGACGACAGAGGAAACGGTTATTCATGGAAGGTAAACATTTGACTGTTGAAACTATGGTGGTGAATGAAGATCTTGCATTCAGCTTTTCAGTCCAAGCACAATAGCATCCAAGTTGTTAGCCTCAATTGCCATTTGGTAGGGCTGTTCATCTCAAGTACCATTCCCATTTAAAAAGGTGGTTTGACACAGCATCATAATAGTACAGAAAAACATAGCTTAGCTCCCCCCCTTTTAATCAATAAAAACAATATGTAAAAGAGAACAATGCATTCTCAAGGCTTCTGAAAATAATCATCTCCTAACCATACATTGGATATAATAGCCCTTTGGCTAGCACAGTTGCAGCACATGTCTGGTGCCACAGTAATTACTGAATTGCTTTGCTTGTTAAGCTCTTAATCTTACATTGCACTGCTATAAAACAGGGATATCCAACATGGTACACACATCAGTATATTTTGGTCTACAACTTTCACCAGCCCCCACAACATGGCTAGTGGTCAGATATGATAGGAGTTCAAAGGCTTGCAAAATCTAGACAATACCACATTGCCTAGCCTTAAGGCAAACATTTCCATAGTCCACTAGTGGGCAGTAGTAAACCTATATCTTGAGAGTTCATTTTAACTTGCAAATACAGTGGTACCTTGGGTTACATACGCTTCAGGTTACATATGCTTCAGGTTACACACTCTGCTAACCCAGAAATAGTGCTTCAGGTTAAGAACTTTGCTTCAGAATAAGAACAGAAATCGGGCTCCAGAGGCGCAGCGGCAGCAGGAGGCCCCATTAGCTAAAGTGGTGCTTCAGGTTAAGAACAGTTTCAGGTTAAGAACAGACCTCCAGAACGAATTAAGTTCTTAACCTGAGGTACCACTGTACATTTTTCTGGTGTAAGTCATTCTCAGTTTTAGGGTGTTTCCATATATAATGCTTGAATAGATCAGCAGAGCAAATGTTAAACCTATAATGGCTAGAATGTAGTCTCATTTATTTCTTTTACCTTCTCTTGTGCATTAGCAGTATTTTAACATGGTACAACCTGCATGAAAAAAAGTTCCAATGTGTCACATTTAGCAACAGGAATAAGCAGTCCTTAGTTCTATTTGTGAAATGATTTGCAAGCAATGGTTACTTGTGCCCTTAAGAGGAGGGCCAATTTAATTCATTGCTCATGCCTTTCTCATATTCCCACCCTCAGGTCACGCTCCTGAGAAACTACTGGAAAAGCAAGGTGAAGTATGAATGGCTGAGTGGGAAATATAGTAATATTCATTCCCGTGTTGCCTTGCCAGAAAAGAGCATGTATCCCATGGATGTGGACACCTGGGGAGAAATCCTGGAAGCCGAACTGGAAAGATAAGATGCCCAAATAAGGATCTTGCACAGAAGGAACCAGAAATGAACTCACCTGCAGAAAAGAGTGTTCTATATACAATTGTGGCAGCTTTGCACATTGCTGTTGTTTTGTTTTGCACTTTCAGAACTGCTGTTATTTAATTGTTTATTTTAAAGTTTGAAACACAGTGTGTGTGTATTTCTCTTCTTGGACTACTCTCTCAAAATGTACTTTGCAAAATATGTCAAAACATGCTTGAAAGCTGGAATGTTATTATATTCTGCCTTAACCTGTTGCAGGAATTAGCTGGAAGGGAAGCTTAGGATGACATAGTAATGAAAAGAAAAGGAACATGCCTGCTGCATGAATAAAGTCATCAGAAGGATTTTGATATACATCTGGAATAAGAGAAAGAACATTTGTAATTCATTGTCTGTTTCCATGCAGTTTTCTGGTTCACATTATTATCCGGTATGCTGGGCCAGAGGAAAAGGTTGAGAAACAGAGCAATCCTATACCTGAGAGCTGGTAGTTAATGGTTTGTGGGATTTGACGGAAGCCCTGCCGTACTGCATGAACTTGAGCTACACTTCTAGCACAAAAATACACCAGCAGAATATCCAAGATAGGCCAGTGGAACTGCTACCATGGCTAAAATGGTGTGGAGAGGTGGGTGTGATGAATGGCACAGAGGAGGTGCACACTTATGCTGTATCTTAAACTATGACAGACCATGATCACATAGCACCTATGGTGCATCTTTGCAGCAGCTAAGAACATAAGATCTGAAAAAGACCCTGCTGAATCAGGCCAATCTAGTCCAGCATCCTGTTTTCACCAATCAGATACTTATTTTGGGCTGAGCAGATGTTCGTGGGAAACCAGGGAGAACATGACCACAAGAGCACCTCTCATGGTTTCCAGCAGCTGGTGTTCAGAAGCATTGCTGCCTCCAGATATATTACAAAGATTTTTCATCTCGTTGACTTCAGTGTAGAACAGTGAGAGGGGGAGAAGGATTTTTAAAAGGGGCCTCGTATCAGCAACCCCTGTGTCCATGGGTCGTCATCCCAGTGCTACAGCTAAGGTTCCCTCAGCACAAGGGTTTTCCTTGCACAACAGAACCCTCTCTTCCTCTCCTTCCCTATGTGCTTCCTAAATCTGTTCTGGGGTTTCCCCCAACCTTTTAGAGCAGATTTGGAGACAGAGCAGAGTGCATGTGGAGGAAGAGAAGGGGGAATCCCCATTGCAGTAGCGGAAATATTTTTTTGTGGCAGCTTCGACTAGCACAACTACAGTGATACCTCGGGTTAAGTACTTAATTCGTTCTTAACCTGAAACTGTTCTTAACCTGAAGCACCACTTTAGCTAATGGGGCCTCCTGCTGCTGCTGTGCCGCCGCTGCACAGTTTCTGTTCTCATCCTGAAGCAAAGTTCTTAACCCGAGGTAATATTTCTGGGTTAGCGGAGTCTGTAACCTGAAGTGTATTTAACCTGAAGCGTATGTAACCCGAGGTACCACTGTATTTAGTTGCATACAACCCCAGATTACCATGATAGAACAGAGGATATGCTGTAACTATACCACCAGTATAAGTACCCCACATAGCAGTAGACCCAAACCGTACATTTAAAGCACATCCATTTAAAGCACACGACTTCTCCCAAAGACTCCTGGGAATGGTAGTTTGTTAAGGTTGCTGGGAATTTGTAGTTCTGTGTTTAAATGTGTGTGTTGGGGGGGTGTCCTTTATTTCTCTGCCCTCAATGTGTAAACCCTTGGAGATCACGAGTGAGCTCTGGTTGTAGACAAAAGGGAGAAAAGAGAATGTAGAAAGCTGCCTTATACCAAAGCAGCCACTGGTCTATCAAGCTCAGTATTGTCTTCAGCGATTGGCAGAAGTGCTCCAAATGCATAGGGAACAGACACTTTCCAAAAATATGTGGAAGATTAATAATAACTGTACCCAGTAACCTGGGAGTAATACCCATGTAACCCAATGGAACATTTCTGAGTAGATGTGCATTGTTTCTAAATGTTTTCATTTATTTTCATGGTAAAGGTAAAGGTGAAGGGACCCCTGACCATTAGGTCCAGTCGTGACCAACTCCGGGGTTGCGGTGCTCATCTTGCTTTATTGGCCGAGGGAGCCGGCGTACAGCTTCTGGGTCATGTGGCCAGCATGACTAAGCTGCTTCTGGCGAACCAGAGCAGCGCACAGAAACACGGTTTACCTTCCCGCCGGAGTGGTACCTATTTATCTACTTGCACTTGACATGCTTTCGAACTGCTAGGTTGGCAGGAGCAGGGACCGAGCAACGGGAGCTCACCCCATCGCAGGGATTCGAACCGCTGACCTTCTGATCGGCAAGTCCTAGGCTCTGTGGTTTAACCCACAGCGCCATGTGCGTCCCATTTTCATGGTACAGAGGATAAATTTTGAGAAAACAATTGTTACAACAGTAAACAACAAATAACTTGTCCTGACAGAATTACAGACTTTTATCATGCCATATGTTCAAATTTCATTTGATTACTCTAGGAGATCACCAGATAACTAGGAGGTAAAATAATCTAGAGACATGGGCTTACGGTGGTTTGGAATGCAATCCTATACCCCAGGGATGGGGAACCTTTTTCAGCCTGGGGGTTGCATCCTCATTTGAGCTACCTTCCAGGGAACATGCCAAAAGTGAATGTTGCCTGGTGCAAAGCTAGGCAGAGGAACAAATGTGAATTTTACCTTTGTACAGTAGGCTAGTTTTGACACACTCACAAACAACTCCATCTTCCATCAAGGCAAGTAAGAAGTGTTATACTAGAGTTCAAGGACATATTCCAGCCAGGCCAATTTGATTACTATCCCAAGTAATTAAATGATTGCAGCACTTTGTAGAGAGCAAGGTTTCTGTAGAGCAAGGCCTTCAGCACAACTTCTGCCATACTTATAAGGTATTCTTGTCCCAATCTCATGCTACAATCACAAATGATCTGAGGTTGTTTCTGTGAAAAACTGTGGAGGAAGAGAAAGATAAGCACTAGTTGTGAGATGCGTAGGCCCTGTACGATGCAGGTATCTCTCTGGAGATCTGATGTGGGGCAGCGTATCTAACGGCTGCTGTGCTGCTTTCTTCCACCTCTGCTCCACCTGTGCATCTGTAAGTAAACCAAATATTGCAAAAGCAGCAAAGGTGGACCCTCCAAGTGTCCCTATTTTCTTGAGTGACTCGTCTAATATTAACCATCTTTGGCCCTGTGGTGGTGGTGGGAGGCTTCTTGCTAATGCTGCTCTTGGGTCGGTGCTGCCCAGATGGCATTGACATCTCAGATAACAACAATTAGCAGAGGAGGCCCTGTTGGTCCTCCTGGGTGCTGCCCAGTTGGTGTGAACCTGCGACAGGGCAAACTTGGTGAAGGTTCCACTCTCCCTGGTGAAGTATGTCTGTCTCCTTCATTAATGTTCAGATATCCGATGGTTGAAAGACACTGTTCCTGGCAACCTTGAAATTATTAGATGTGATGGCTACTTTGAGATGTTCTTAATGTTCTTAAGTACATTCAATAATATTTTGCTAATTTGTTCTTTACCACCCTGTGCTCATTTGGGAAGAAGGGCAGGGTAAACATTTAATAAATAATGAAAATGATTTTTAATGGAAGCCAAACCAGATAATGGGATTTATGGTGACAGATAATGGGAGAATGAGGAATACAAAGTGAGGTTGCAGGGAACCAGGCAGAGGGCCTTCTCGGTAGTGGCACCTGCCCTGTGGAACCCCCTCCCATCAGATGTCAAGGAAAATAAACAACTACCTGACTTTTAGAAGACATCTGAAGGCAACCCTGGTTAGGGAAGTTTTTAACGTTTGATGTTTTATCATGTTTTTAATATTCTGTTGGGAGCTGCCCAGAGTGACTGGGGAAACCCAGCCAGAGGGCAGGGTATAAATTATTATTATTATTATTATTATTATTATTATTATTATTATTATTCTATTTTGTTTAAGCTGAGGAAAGCAGCCATGAAGCAATGAAATAATCAAGATAGCACAGAAACACAGGCAGTGGCATAGAGTTTGCACAGCCTCAGTGACCTTTTTATAACTCTGAGACCGACACATCATATTGTAGTACAAAAAATAGGATGAGTTCCGGTTTCCTTGGTTTGCAACAGTACAGCATATTTTTAGAGGTAAGAGCCTGGATGGTAGGAACCACACAGCAATTATCACGAAGACATTAGCTAAATGAGCAAGCTTTATCTTCCTCTTCTGCCTTCCCTTTTCATTGTGGGACCACTGACACATCTGTAGTCCTGTCAGCATTGATGACTTACAGGAAAGGTTTGCAATGAGTAGTTTCCCCTTAAAACATTAATTTTTAGAACTCAGAAATAATGATGAAACATGTACATGATTAAGGGTTGAGGCATGGTGTACGTGAAGCTGACCACTTTCCCCATTAAAAAAAAAAAAACATTCTTGCTGCTGCTGTTGTAATCATTCCTTGGGTCCAAAATGAGAAATTTGTTCAGGGACTTGAAGTTATACTACATGTAAGGTTGTGGGGTTCAGAGGCACTTTGCTGTGATGACCTCCAGTTCCACACATTCTGAAATTGTCAGAATTTCCTATTTGCGACATTAACTATTTACCAGTACTGGAAAGCTTTAGTGCTCACTTGTTTTAATGTTTTGCCCTCTGTTCTTCTAACTGCCCAATTTAATAAGATTCTGCTTAAGTTAAAGATTTTGTCTTTGTGGAACTGGAATGATGAATCTGTTGGTCATCTCCTTTTTACATTGCAGGGAGGCCAGAGAGAGGCTGATTCCTTCAGAAATTTAGTACTCTTCCCAGATATTTTGATATTTTCTGTTCATTTGATGATTCTGGCTACGTTACTGATAAGGTAACTGAATTCAGTGAGCTAGTCATCAGCACAAATTAGGAAGCAGATAATAAAGTCAGAACTTCCTTTTGCTCCCTTTATAAATTTGCCTGGTTTCTTTTTATGCTTTTGAATTCTGGTGCTGGAGGAGACTCTTGAGAGTCCCATGGACTGCAAGAAGATCAAAGCTATCCATTCTGAAGGGAATCAGCCCTGAGTGCTCACTGGAAGGACAGATCCTGAAGCTGAGGCTCCAATACTTTGGCCACCTCATGAGAAGAGAAGACTCCCTGGAAAAG